GTGATGGGGTTGGTTAATGCAGCATGGAGATAGTGCGGAAAAGACAGCCTGGATATGGGGGCTGGTTAATACACAGGATGATAGGGCTGGAAAAGGGCGTTTGGGATGACAGGGCTGGAAAATGACACCCGGTGCGGGGCTGGAAAATGACATTTTTGGATCTTTGTATACTTCTAGGAAACTTAAACACTAGCTATGAACGCTAGGTATACTTAACACTAGCTATGTATACTGCGGTATACTCAACACTAGTATTATACTGCTAGGTATACTTAACACTAGCTATTATCTGTAGGTATACTTAACACTAGCTATTATCTTCTAGTAATTGAAAATTTTTTTATACGAGGACAAAAAAACATACGTAGTTTTAAATAAGAATTTATTGACATTGAGTACAATTGTACAACATTGACAGTACACTTGTACAACACTGACAGTACAACTGTACAACACTGACAATATACTTGTACAACACTGACAGTACACTTGTACAACACTGACAGTACACTTGTACAACACTGACAGTAAAATTTGTAAAACATGACAGTACAATTGTACAACACTGACAGTACAACTGTACAACACTGACAGTACACTTGTACAACACTGACAGTACACTTGTACAACAATGACAGTACACTTGTACAACACTGACAATATACTTGTACAACACTGACAGTACACTTGTACAACACTGACAATACACTTGTACAACACTGACAATACACTTGTACAACACTGACAATACACTTGTACAACACTGACAATACACTTGTACAACAATGACAGTACACTTGTACAACACTGACAATACACTTGTACAACAATGACAGTACACTTGTACAACACTGACAATACACTTGTACAACACTGAAAAACATTTGTAAACATACAACACTTGTACAAACTGACAATATATTTGTACAACACGACGTACATTGAAAACACGACATACAACTGACACAGATAGTGTATATACACTAACATCTTATTAATACACTCGTAAACACAGATACATACACTGACAGTCTCACTTCATCACTCATACAAGTGTAATATACACCGGGTGATAGCAAGACACATATTTCTTTCGACTAGCAGTTTTACCGCCATATCTTTTCTATACACGCTCCTTTACTTTATGGTACCCCTTTTCAATATTTTAATTCACAACTTCATTTACAAATTTCAATTTAGATGGTTTTAAATTACTAAATTTAACTTTTACGTGGTTGACTTACAAATTTTAACTTTACAGGGTTTAAAAATTAAAAAATATTTTTAACTTAACAATGGTTTAATTAAATATTTCAACTTAACAATGGTTTAACTTACAATATTTTAAATTTACGATGGTTTTAACTTTCAATTTTCAACTTAAAAGATTTAACTTACAAAATTTTTAACTTTATGATGGTTTAAACTTAATTTTCAAATTTACAATGGTTCAACTTCAGTATTTCAACTTACAAATGATTTTTAGGGGAAGTTTTTTTTTGCATTTATGGGTTTAGAAAAGGCTATATAAGTGGGTGAGGGACAATGTGGCAGTGTTGCAAGTATAGTGGGCCCCCCAATTTAGTCGTGACTTTTCTGTTGCAAAAAAGTTTTTATTTTCTAAAATGTTTTTTGTTAATATTTCCATAGGGGAAAAATGAAATCCAATTAAACCATTCCCAAAACCCAAAAAAAATTTAAAAGAAAAAACATTTCAAGATAATAAAAATAGTTTTTTCTACAGAAATGGGACACTAAATTTGAGGGTCCAATAAATAGGGGAAAAATTACTAAAACTGAAAGAGTTTTTTTTAGAGGATAGTGAGGTCAGTTAGGGTGGTAAAGAGGGGAAACTTCCGGAATATTTTGGGCTTTGACAGGGATGTGTTTTGTCACCTGGTTGTTTAATATACATGGACCCCGCATAACGATTCCTCCGAATGGCCAAATTTTAAAAATTTTATTTAAGTAAGGCGTTTGTACGGTAGTTGGGGGGCTGAAATGGGGCTAAATTTCTTTACAATATTTTTTATGGGAACAAATTTGGTCATACTGGCACCTGAACAATCTCTGGGGTGAAAAAAAATCGTTAACCGGGGGTCCCTGTACATGGCCCCCGGTTTACATCCTCCCAATGCGACCCTTATGTAAGTGTATTAGTAAGGCTTTGTATTGTATGTTTGGGGCTGAAATGACTAATCTAAATTTACAAACCTTATGGAACAAAGGGCATATGGCACCTGAAAATTTTCTGAATGAAAAAAATATCGTAAAAAGGGGGGCCACGTATTTATAGATGGTTGTAAAAAAAATAAATGCTTTGGTGTTCGGGGAGGGGTGGAAAATTTAAATTATGGGGAATTAATACAAAAAGGGGAAATTTACCAGTTATTTTGCTGATGAAACTGTGTTAGGGGGGCTCTAAAGAAAAATTGCAAATTTGGATAGTTTGGGATTTAAAGGAGAAAGTTTAAAGTGAACATAGAGAAGAGTAAGGTGATGAGGGTATTAAATGATTTAGATAAGAAAAAAATTTGGGTATCAAATTGGGGAGGAGGGAAAATGGAAGAATGTGTTTTCCCGATTTTGGGATTTTAGTGTCAGCAATGGATTTATGAAGGGTAGGGTTTAAACAAGAATTGATAAAGGGGAAAAAAATGAGGGTGCGTTCAGGTATATGTGGAGACAAAAAATTTTACTATGGAGGGAAAGAAGGGGAAATTAAAGAAAGTATGTAGTACCAACACTTATATGGTTTTAAGTTGGGTTTTAAATGCCCCACAAGAGGCGGCTGGAGGCATGGAGATGTCCTGTCTAAGGACAATGTGTGGTGAAAAAATTAAGCAGAAAATTTGGAGGTAAATTGGAGAAGGTGTGGAGTTAAAAAAGTATTTGTCGAGGGGAGAAAGGGGTTTTGAGATGGTTTGGTCATTAGAGAGAAAGGATCAAAGTAGAATACTTGGAGAGCATTAAAAACTGTAGGGAAAAAAAGGGGGGTAGGGGTTTTCCCCCAAAAAGGCTGGGGAAGAGGGGTAAAGGAGGTTTTTGGGAGAGGGGGTTGGATTCCAGCAACGTGCTGGCGTGTTAGATAGGAGTGGAAAGGAGACGAAGGTATTTGGGGCCTGAAGCTGTTGGGTGTAGCAGGGAAAAATTTAGTGAAGGGATTCAGGGAAAACCGGGGATTTTTAAAGCCAGACTTTAGTCCCGGAAATGGGAAGTACAATGCCTGCACTTTGTAAAAACAATGAACAAAGGGGGCTTTAGGAAAGGGAGGGGGTGTTAACTAAGTTTTACAGGAAAAAATAAGGGGAACAGTATTTAGACAAAGGTAAAGAGGTTTCTGTGGGATTTTTTGGGTTTTGGAAAAAAGGGATTGACAGGGTGGTAGGAAGCAAAGTGCAATTTGCAGGTGTATGGATAGGAGGTAGGGTTTCTGAAAGCAGTGAAGAGTTTTTTTCAAGGAGTGAGGCCAGGATAGAGATGTAGGGGAGAGGCAGATTATTTCCCCGTAAAAGTAGGCCTTAGACAAGGAGTGTAGCCCATGTTGTTCAATGTATTTATAGATGGGGTTGTAAGGAAGTGAAAGCGAGGGGCTTTGGGAAACGGGAGTTTAAAAAATAAAAATTAAACACAAAGTGGGAGTTGTCACAGTTGCTCTTTGCTGATGACATGTGTTTTTTTTGGGGATTTGAAAATAAGTTGCAGAGGTTGGTGGAAATTTGGTAGGTAGAGATGAAGAAAATTAAAAGTGAAAACAGGAAAGGTAAGGTTATGAGGGTAACAAAAAGATTAGGTGACAAAAGATTTTTTATCAATTGGAGGGAGAGAGTATGGAGGGGGTGAATGATTCAGATATTAAAAGTGGAGTGTCAGCAAAGGGTCATAAAAATGAGGGAATCAAGAAATGATGAGGGGAAAAGGGTGAGTGGTGCACTTTGGGGCTGTGGAAACAAAAACTTTTTCCATGGGAACAAAGAGGGAATGTAAGAGTAAGCTGTACCAACATTTGTATGGGTATGAACATAATGATGAATGTTGAGCGAGGAGAAGGCTGGAGCATGGAGATGTCATGCTGAGAGCAAAGTGTGGTGTGAATATAAGTAAAGAATTTTAAGTTTGGGAAATTTGGAAAAAAGGGGTAGGATTACCAAAACATTATCCAGAGGGTTGAGGAGGGTTGTTGAGGGGTTTGGACTGCAAGAGAATGGAACAAAACAAAAGCTCGAGTGTATAAAACGTATGGAGGGAAAGGGGGTAGGAGTCGGGCCTAGGAAGGGTTGGGAGGGGGGGGTAAAGAGGGTTTTTTTTGAAGGGGCTTTGGGCTTCCCGAAAGCGTCAAGAGCGTTTTTTTAGGAGTGAAGGAGAAAAATTTTTTTAAACGACGTGCTGTTTGGGGTGTGAGCGAAATAACATTTTGAAGGGGTTTAGGGAAACCCCGGGCCCACTTTAGTCCTGGAGATGGGGAAGTTTCAGGTAACTCGAAGGTTAATGTTGCAGTTTTATAACTGGGGGGGGGGGGTGTAATGTAAAAACCTTCGGGACCCGCTGGTGGGGAAGGTGATGTTTTAAATAAATAAAAAAAAAATTTTCCGCAACCTAAAAACCCACAGTAAGCAAGGGAAACCTGAACAAAAACCACCCGAACACCCCTTCCACAAGCCCCCCCGAACACCACACACTTTCCTAATGTTTATTTGCATGACTCACAAAATCGTATGAACCCCAAATTTCAAACAAACCATACACAGACGGGGTAGAACTTGTTGCGGGTTCATCCACATCCGTGAATGTTTTTTTCATTTTTCATAACAGAACCAGAACACAATGCATGAATGTGAAAAGGGAATGAACATAATGAAACAATAAATATAATAACTCACTAAATGTAATGATAAGTGAATGTTCAGGAGAATGTGACTGGCTTACAGCTATATAATTATTATTATTATTTTTATTATTATTATTATACCATTAGTGGTTTGGTTGCTAAAGACATAGGGAAAGATAATAATAATACTAATACTGTATTTTAGGATTATAATGCATTTTGAAAAATATTGGAGTGCAGGACAACTAAATTATCTAGATAATACAATTTTTGTATGTTGTATTACTGGTTAAAATTAACAAACATACACTTGCATACACCTATACATATGAATATCCACATACAAACAGTCACATATACACACTCTCTCACACACACTCAGATACTCTCACACACACACAACCAGCAGAAACAGGACCAGGAGCTATATCTCAATCCCTACAACTACACAACACCTATAGTAATCTACACTACTCAAAATCTACATGAAAACCAACATACACCAGTATATACACACACGTATCAGTGAATATACACATAAAAATTATTCAGTACTGTAGATATAGTGAAGATTAGCGCTAATACTTGTAGAAAGATGATGAAGGTGGTAGTGACGTAGACGGAGGTAGAATTGTTGTTTGCGAATCTGAAGACCGTCACTGCACCATTCTGGATCTTCCAGGGGTCATGACCATCATCATAGTAGATAGGACACTGGTCGTCTGTAAGTGGAGAGGTGGTAGTAGTGATGATGGTGGTAGTAGTGGTGGTGGTAGTAGTAGTAGTGGTGGTGATGGTGGTAGTAGTAGTAGTAGTAGTAGTAGTAGTAGTAGTAGTAGTAGTAGTAGTAGTAGTAGTAGTAGTAGTAGTAGTGGTAGTAGTAGTAGTGGTAGTAGTAGTAGTAGTAGTAGTAGTAGTGGTAGTAGTAGTGGTAGTAGTGGTAGTAGTAGTAGTGGTTGTGTAGTAGTATTATATTAGTAGTAGTAGTAGTAGTAGTAGTAGTAGTAGTAGTAGTAGTAGTAGTGGTAGTAGTAGTAGTAGTAGTAGTAGTAGTAGTAGTAGTAGTAGTAGTAGTAGTAGTAGTAGTAGTAGTGGTAGGTACAACTGAAAGTTGAAAACTCAGATGAGTCACAAGGATGTCAGGAAGTATTTCTTCAGAGTTGTCAGGAAGTGCAACAATCTGGTGAGTGATGTAATTGAGGCAGGATCCATACACAGCTTTAGGAAGAGGTACGATAAAGCTCATGGAGCAGGGGGAGAGTGGGCCTAGTAGCAACCAGTGAAGAAGTGGGGCCAGGAGCTGTGACTTGACCCTTGCAACTACACATAGATGAATGTACACACACACAGTATCAAATAACGTTAAAGACTTACACATTCCTTCACAACTAACATTAAAGACTAACACATGCATTAACAACTAAGGTAACAGTTGACCTACGTATTCGTTCACTGAAGGTGAGGTTAAGACCCACAGCGGCGCCCTCATCATAGGTGTAAGAGAGGAAGTTCTGATGTAGACCACAAGCGGCACCAACTGACTGTGATAATACCAGTCTACCCAGTCCCACTCTCTGGTATACCTGTAATATAACAACTACTTAGTACCTGGAACTGTTGCTTAACCAGTCCCACTGACTGGTATACCTGTAACACAACAACCACTTACATAGTTGTACATGTGCGATCTACAATACCCAAATACTGCAAGTCCAACTTATTAGCACAAGCTAGTCAGGTCCAACTCACACCCACTCAAGTATTTATTTAACAAATTTTTAACAAGGACATATTAGGAAGACTGAAGAAGTATATACAAAAGATGAGGTAATCAGTCCCTCAGCCTTGAAATTGGTGATGAGTACTATAGTAGTGGCTAGCAGTAGTTAAAAATGTAGACGTAGGTCATACCCAACCCTTGGTTATGACCTACTTCCATCTGCCAGAAATCCATCACCTGATGCCAGTACATAAGTGCCAATCTTCGTGCCTGTGCTTCAGATTCTTCAAGACTACGGGGCTCAGCAACTGATTACCTAATTTTTTGTATATATCGTATTTCGCGGCTTATAAGATGCGGATTATGAGACCTGTTTTAGTCTCAGTGGCTCAGCATCAGACGTAACTGGGAGAGCTATAGCTCACCCCACACCCCAAATTTATACCTCCCATCACTGACCTTTAGTTTACAGGATGCAGGGTTGTTTTTGGAGGCATTTTATGGAAAGAAAATGCGCCTAATAAGTAGTGAAATATGATACTTCTTCAGTCTCCCAAATATATCTTGAACTTGTTTTGATAAAGCCACTGGATGGTGAAATGTCTACAATAAAGATACCCAGATGTTGTACATGTGTTTAGGTCTTCACTTACAGGTGCTCCATGTTTTACAATGGTTCAATTAACGATATTTCAGCTTTACAATGGTTCAACTTACAATATTTCAGCTTTACAATGGTTCAACTTACAATATTTCAGCTTTACAATGGTTCAACTTACAATATTTCAGCTTTACAATGGTTCAACTTACAATATTTCAGCTTTACAATGGTTCAACTTACAATATTTCAGCTTTACAATGGTTCAACTTACAATATTTCAGCTTTACAATGGTTCAACTTACAATATTTTCAGCTTTACAATGGTTCAACTTACAATATTTCAGCTTTACAATGGTTCAACTTACAATATTTCACTTTACAATGGTTCAACTTACAATATTTCAGCTTTACAATTGTTCAACTTACAATATTTCAGCTTTACAATGGTTCAACTTACAATATTTCAGCTTTACAATTGTTCAACTTACAATATTTCAGCTTTCAATGGTTCAACTTACAATATTTCAGCTTTACAATGGTTCAACTTACAATATTTCAGCTTTACAATGGTTCAACTTACAATATTTCAGCTTTACAATGGTTCAACTTACAATATTTCAACTTTACAATAAAGCAGCAACAATTACTTTAGAGATGAAACTTAAGATAATTACCCAGCATGAAGGTGGCAAGTCCCTAACTTGTATTCATTTATTGACTTTTCAATACTGGTATTTACTTACAGTAATTATTTGTTTACCGACTCATTCAGTGACAGTAGTTACTTATTGACTTGTTAATTTAGCATATATTCATATTCAACTTACGATATTTTCGACTTAACCCCATTGTAAGTCGTAAAGCACCTGTACCTAGTACCTGGACCTGTTACTCACCCAGCACCTGAACCTGGAGACAGGATCGGAAGGATCAATGGTAACGAGGTATGATCGAAGATTCTCATGCCAGAATCCTACACACTGTAGTCGGTAGTCCAACATTCCTGAAAACAAATAGAACAACATAAGAATGGTGGAACACTGCAGAAGGCCTACTGGCCCATACTAGGCAGGTTCTTCTTTAAACCAACCATTCTCACCCATCCACTTGTGGGCGTGTTTCCTAAAGACAACTGTTATCCCTGTTCACCTAGCAGTTAGTAGGTACCTGGGTGTTAGTCATGTTACACCTGCTGACACTGTTCATCTAGCAGTAAGTAGGTACCTGGGTGTTAGTGGACTGGTGTGGGTGGCATCCTAGGGACATAACCAAGGACTTTCTATATACGTATTATGTCACTGATGTCAGCTATGGTCTAAATAAGTTGTATCATGTACTGGTGTAGAAATAAACATTATTATTATTATTATTATTATTATTATTATTATTATTAGTATTATTATAAAGCTACCTAAGCATTACCTTCAGTACCTCAGGGCTCTGGTGGCCTGGTGGTTAACGCTCTCGCTTCACATGGCGAGGGCCTGGGTTCGTTTCCCAGCCAGAGTAGAAACACTGGACGTGTTTCTTTCCACCTGTTATCTATGTTCCCCATCAGTAAAATGGGTACCTGGGTGTTAGTCGACTGGTGTGGGTCGCATCCTGGGACACTGACCTAAGGAGGCCTGGTCACAGACCGGGCCGCGGGGGCGTTGACCCCCGGAACTCTCTCCAGGTAGGTACTAACCAAAGCCAATCCTTCCCACTCATATATTTGTCCGATCTCTTCTTAACTCTCCTAGTGCCACGAGAATCTTCGTCTATTGCAGAAGTTGCAGATATCAACCCATGACAACAGTGTAAGCAACTAAGGTAATGGGTGAGGTCTGTACTCATGGTGAATACACTGGCCCAGTGGGGGGGACCTACATTTCTGGGGCCCTGAAGCTTAGACCATTATGGGAGCCCCTTTGCAACCCCTACAGTAGACTCAAAATTTTTAAGTAATGTTGACTAAGGTCACTTCCAGGGGTGCCTCCAGGATTAGAGACCCTGAAGTGGCATGACCAGTACCTACTTAACTACCTACCCCTCTCTCTCTTTCTGGATTAGGGGCCCTGAAGCTTAGCCTTTATTATTTTCATAATAGATCCGTACCTGATACAATGTTCGTACAGTGATAATGGCATTCAGGTGTACAAGCAGAAAGCTTCTTAATAAGCAGAGCATTTACATAAACATAGGCCTATCTTAAGCCTAATAAGACAATAACTAATCAACTGATCATATATGCAGTCTCTACATAGTTTTTTTTTTATTATCACATTGGCCGATTCCCACCAAGGCAGGGTGGCCCGAAAAAGAAAAACTTTCACCATCATTCACTCCATCACTGTCTTGCCAGAAGAGTGCTTTACACTACAGTTTTTAAACTGCAACATTAACACCCCTCCTTCAGAGTGCGGGCACTGTACTTCCCATCTCCAGGGCTCAAGTCCGGCCTGCCGGTTTCCCTGAACCCCTTCATAAATGTTACTTTGCTCACACTCCAACAGCACATCAAGTATTAAAAACCATTTGTCTCCATTCACTCCTATCAAACACGCTCATGCATGCCTGCTGGAGCGTGTTTGATAAATTTTGGAAACACAGAAGTTTAAACTCTCACTCATTTCATAATCTGACATGAAAAAGTGCTCAAATATGCTGTAAAAATAACAGAACATAAATATGATACAATACCACAATAGGCCTATACTAGGTAGGTTCAACTCACACCCACTTATACATTCATCCAACCTATTCTGAAAGCTACACAAGGTTTTAGCTTCAATAACATTATCTGGCAGTTTGTTCCACTCATTGACAATTATATTGCCAAAGCTTTCCTATATTCTTTCTAAATCTAATTTTTTTCTAACTTGAAACCATTGCTGTGAGTCCTGTCTTGGCTAGATATTTCTAGCATAGGCCAGTAAGCCTGTTGCAGTTCTAATTAATCTATCCTCGTAGGATAGACAGAGTCCTCAGTCTATCCTCATAGGACAGACAGGGCCCTCAATCTATCCTTGTAGGATAGACAGGGCCCTCAGTCTATCCTTGTAGGATAGACAGGGACCTCAGTTTATCCTAGTAGGACAGACAGGGTCCTCAAAGGTGAGTACAGTGCATGTACTCTGAAGGATGAGTGAGGATGTTACAGTTCTGGAGGTGGGAAGTACAGTACCTGTACTCTGAAGGATGAGTGAAGTATGTACAGTGCCTGTACTCTGAAGGATGGGTGAAGTACAGTGCCTGTACTCTGAAGGATGAGTGAAGTACAGTGCCTAAACTTACAGTACCTTAGTGTTCAACGACCAATGCATAAGCAATCAGTATTCACCTATTTGTGGCTGCAGGGGTTGAGTCACAGCTCCTGGCCCCACAAGAGACATACTTACTGTTATAATCAACATGATGACCATCCTTATTGAGAGACAGACAGAGATCCATGTCAATATTGATCCACCGACGATCCGGTGTACAGACAGACAGATCTGACACCTGTCTGTGGCAGGGGTAGGTGTCCAGGGGAGAGGATGTGATACCCCCTAGAATCCTCTTAGTTAGGGGTGACGGTCCACGCTGCACAAAGGAGAATCGTCCACCAATGGGACAGGAGATAGGCTCTGGAGGATCAGCTGTGGGCCAGTAAAATTTTCAGTAGGCTTAGATCCTCTATATGAAGTCAGTTCTTTTATAAAGTTCCACTATATACAGTCAGTTCTCTTATTAAGTTCCACTATATACAGTCAGGTCAGTAAACCCACCTAACACTTAGGAATATAAAAAAAGAAGGAGCACTGCATTATGCCTACTGGCCCATGCTAGTCAGATCTAACTCACACCCACCAACACAGGCTGGTTCACCTACCTATTAGTGTGTGGTATTGCCACTCCCTACCACTGCGGAAGTTAGCGTAGTCACACACCTGGTAGTAACCCTGGTAGATAAGTGGCCAGGTTACCCTAAACCTGACGATGTTGTGGTGACGAGGAACCATCTCCCAACACACGTACTCTGTTTGACTGTAAAATAATAATAATGATAATGATAATAATAATAATGTTTATTTCTACACCAGTACAGCCTCTCCTCACTTAGCAACGTACTCGAGTACCGACGACTCGGACTTACAACGGGCTCTCTGACCAGTATGCATACCCAAATAATGCATATTAGAGCCAATTTCCTCTATTCTGTTTATTACAATATATGGTACACTACTGTATTAACATTTAATAATATACCAGAAATGTTATAAATGGTGCAAAGGTGACATTAAAACAATAATAAAGATGACTCACACAAACCCACTACCATTATAGTATGCTCCTCACTTAGCGACGAATTTGTTTACCGACGTGATCTTAGGAACGGAACTCTGTCGTTAAGTGAGGAGAGGCTGTAAGAATAATAATAATGATGATGCTTATTGCTACACCAGCACATGATATAACTTATACACACTATAGCTGACATCAATGACAAACTATATAGAAAGTCCCTGGTTATATCCCCAGGATGCCACCCACACCAGTTGACTAACACCCTGGTACCTACTTACTGCTAGGTGAGCAGCAGGTGTCTTAAGGAAACATGCCCTAATGTTTCCACCCATACTAGGGATCAAACCAGGACATCAGTGTGTGAGTTGAGTGCACTACCAATCCAGCTATGGGATGCCTTGTTAACAGTTATTGTAAAACAAGTGAAATAAGTATAGATTTGTTAACAATAAACTGCAAATATCTCCATTCATCCTTCAGTGCTGGTACTGTACTTTCCACCTCCAGGACTCAAGTCCAGCTAACCAGTTTACCTGAATCCCTTCATATATGTTACCTTGCTCACACTCCAACAGCACATCAAGTCATAAAAAATCACTTGTCTCCACTCACTCCTATCTAATCTGCTCACACACACCTGGAAGTCCAAGTTCCTTGCATACAAAACCTCTTTTACCACTCCATCCAATATTTATTAAGATAACCCCTACCCGTCCTTCCCTCCACTACAAATATATACATCCTCCAAGTCATCCTATTTTGTCCCATCCTTTCTAAATGACCAAACCACCTCACCAACCCCTCATCAGCCCTCTGGATAATACTTTTAGTAACACAGCACTTTCTTCTGATCTCCAAGCTACAGATTCTCCATATTGTATTCACATCACACATTGTCCTCAGACATATCTCCACTGCATCCAGCCTCCTCCTTTGTTGCCTTCAGTTTCCTCCACTACCTCCAGCCTCCTCCTCCACTGCCTCTAGCATTCTCCACTACCTCCAGCCACCTCCTCCTACACTACCTCCAGCCTCCTCCTCCATTGCCTCTAGCCTTCTCCACTACCTCCAGCCTCCTCCACTGCCTCCAGCCTCCTCCACTGTCTCCAGCCTCCTTCTCCACTGCCTCCAGCCTCTTTATCCATTGCCACCAGCCTCCTCCTACACTGTCTCCAGCCTTCTCCTTGTTGCAACATTCACCATCCATGTTTCACACCCATATACTGCAAAAGTGTTGGCATAACTATATTCTCATACATTCCCCTTTTGCTTCCATGGACAAAGTTCTTTGTCTCCACAGATTCCTCAGTGCACCACTCACCTTTTTCCCATCATCAATTCTATGGTCACCTTATCTTTCATAGACCCATCTGCTGACACGTCCACTGCTAAATATCTGAATACATTCACTTCTCCCATACTCTCTCCCTCCAATGTGATATCCAATCTTCCACTGCCTAAATTTTTTGTTATCCTCATGATCTTACTCTTTCCTATGATCACTTTTAACTGTCTTCTTTTACATACCCTACCAAACTCCTCCACCAACCTCTGCAACTTATATTCAGAATCTCCCAAAAGCACAATGTCATCAGCAAAAAGCACCTGTGACAACTCCCACTTTGTGTTAGATTCTTTATCTCTTAATCCCACACCTCTTGCCAACACCCAAGCATTCACATCTCTTACAACTCCATCTATAAATATGTCGAACAACCATGGTGACATCACACAGCCTTGTCTAAGGCCTCTCTCCTACATACTCTAATCTGAGCCTCACTATTCTTGTAAAAACTCTTCACTGCTTTCAGTAACCTACTACCTATTCCATACACCTGCAACATCTGCCACATTGCTTCCCTATTCCCTATGCCTTTTCTTAGTCCATAAATGCAAAGAAAACCTCTTTACCCTTATCTAAATACTGTTCACCTATATGTTTCACTGTACACACTTAATCTACACACCCCCTACCCTTCCTAAAGCCTCCCTGCTCATCTGCTATCCTACTCTCTGTCTTACTCTTAATTCTTTCAACAATAACTCTAGCATACACTTTACCATGTATACTTGACAGGTTTATTCCCCAATAATTCTTACACTTTCTTGTCCCTTTGTCCTTATATAAATGAACTATGAATGGTCTCTGCCAGTCTCTAGGTACCTTACCCTCTTAAATACAGTTATTAAATAAAAGCACTAACCATTCCAAAACTATATAACCCCCTGCTTTTAACATTTCTGTCTTCATCCCATCAACCCCAGCTGCGAGAACATTCTGCCATTAACACACACACACACACCAGTACACTCACACATATACCCTCCCATTAACACACACACACACACACACACACACATGTACACCAGAAAACACACACACACACACACTCACACAATCGGCCTCTCAACGTAATTTTCAAGGCAGAATCAACCCGAACCATGATCCTGCAGGAGAAAGCACGGCTGAGAGGCAAGCAGGAGTTCCGGAGTGTGTACCTCGATCGAGACAGAACACAGGACGAAAGGAAGGCGATGAAAGAGAGAGTTCAAAAACGAAAGGAGAAATGGGAGGAAATGAAAAAGGAGAGCAGAATAACCCAGGATCAAATGGAAGGACAAGCACACCCCCCAGAAACACCTGCAGAAGGACTCCAGCCACGACACCCCCAAGGCAACTGAACAATCCAAACCAACCATCACACATCGATCCCTCTGTTCCCACCCCCTGCACCACAGTTACAGTACTAGAACAGAAGTTGAAGGTTTGGTACACAAATGCAGATGGATTAACGAATAAACATGAGGAATGGCAAGAAAGAATCAATGAGAAGTCCCCAGACATCATAGCAGTTACAGAAACAAAACTCACGGAGACAATAACAGATGCAATCTTCCCACCAGGATACCAGATCATGAGGAAAGATAGAAGGGGCAGAGGGGAGGTGGGGTTGCTCTGCTCGTAAAAAACAGATGGAAATTCGAGAAAATGGAAGGCATAGATGAGACGGGAGAAAGAGACTACATAGTAGGTACACTTCAGTCTGGGGAACACAAAGTGGTCATTGCAGTGATGTATAATCCACCACAGAACTGCAGGAGGCCAAGAGAGGAATATGAAGAGAGCAACAGAGCAATGGTGGACACACTTGCTGAGGTGGCAAGAAGAGTTCACTCCAGCAGAGCAAAGTTGCTGGTTATGGGAGATTTCAACCACAGGGAGATTGAATGGGAAAACCTGGAGCCACATGGGGATCCCGAAACATGGAGAGCCAGGATGTTGGACGTGGTGCTGGAAAACCTCATGCACCAACATGTTAAGGACACTACCAGAGTGAGAGGGGAGGATGAACCAGCAAGATTGGACCTTGTGTTCACCATGGGCAGCTCAGACATTGAGGACATCAAGTATGAGAGTCCCCTAGGAGCTAGCGATCACGTGGTTCTGTGCTTTGAATACATAGTAGAGCTGCAAGTGGAGAGAATAACAGGAGTTGAATGGGAAAAGCCTGACTATAAAAGAGGGGACTACATAGGGTTGAAGAACTTCCTGCGGGAGGTCCAGTGGGACAGAGAACTGGCAGGAAAACCAGTAAATGAAATGATGGAATATGTAACAACAAAATGCAAGGAGGCAGTGGAAAGGTTTATTCCCAAGGGCAACAGTAACAACGGGAAGACCAGAACGAGCCCCTGGTTTACCCGACGGTGTAAGGAGGCAAAAACAAAGTGCAATAGAGAATGGAAAAAGTACAGAAGGCAGAGAACACACTAAAATAGGGAGATCAGTCGCAGAGCCAGGAATGAGTATGCACAGGTAAGGAGGGAGGCCCAGCAACAGTATGAAAATGACATAGCATCGAGAATCAAGACTGACCCGAAACTGTTGTATAGCCACATCAGGAGGAGGAGAACAGTCAAAGACCAGGTGATCAGATTAAGGACAGAAGGTGGAGAACTCACAGGAAATGATCAGGAGGTATGTGAGGAGCTGAACAGGAGATCTAAGGAAGTTTTTACAGTAGAGACAGGAAGGGCTGTGGGAAGACAGCACAGAAGGGAACATCAAGAGGGAATATACCAACAAGTGTTGGATGACATACGAACAACCGAGGAGGAGGTGAAGAAGCTCCTAAGTGACCTTGACACCTCAAAGGCGATGGGACTGGACAACATCTCCCCATGGGTCCTTAGAGAAGGAGTAGAGATGCTGTGCGTGCCTCTAACCACAATCTTCAACACATCCCTTGAAACTGGGCAACTACCTGAGAAATGGAAGACAGCTAATGTAGTTCCCATATTTAAGAAAGGAAACAGAAACGAGGTGCTAAACTACAGACCTGTCTCTCTGACATGTATTGTGTGCAAAGTCATGGAGAAGATTACCAGGAGGAGAGTGGTCGAACACCTGGAAAGGAACAAGATTATAAATGAAAACCAGCATGGGTTCATGGAAGGCAAATCGTGTATCACAAACCTCCTGGAGTTTTATGACAAGGTAACAGAAGTAAGACACAAGAGAGAGGGGTGGGTAGATTGCGTTTTCCTAGACTGCAGGAAGGCCTTTGACACAGTTCCCCACAAGAGATTAGTGCAGAAGCTGGAGGATCAGGCGCATGTAGCAGGGAGGGTACTGTAATGGATCAGGGAATACCTGATAGGGAGGCAGCAACGAGTCATGGTACGTGAAGAGGTATCACAGTGGGTGCCTGTGACGAGCGGGGTCCCACAGGGTTCAGTTCTAGGACCAGTGCTATTTTTGATATATGTGAACGACATGATGGAAGGAATAGACTCTGAAGTGTCCCTGTTCGCAGATGATGTGAAGTTTTTTTTTTTTTTCAACAAGTCGGCCGTCTCCCACCGAGGCAGGGTGACCCAAAAAAGAAAGAAAATCCCCAAAAAGAAAATACTTTCATCATCATTCAACACTTTCACCACACTCACACATTATCACTGCTTTTGCAGAGGTGCTCAGAACACAACAGCTTAGAAGCATATACGTATAAAGATACACAACATATCCCTCCAAACTGCCAATATCCCAAACCCCTCCTTTAAAGTGCAGGCATTGTACTTCCCATTTCCAGGACTCAAGTCCAACTATATGAACATAACCGGTTTCCCTGAATCCCTTCACTAAATATTACCCTGCTCACACTCCAACAGATCGTCAGGTCCCAAGTATCATTCGCCTCCATTCACTCCTATCTAACACGCTCATGCACGCTTGCTGGAAGTCCAAGCCCCTAGCCCACAAAACAAAATGAGGCAGGACTGCAAAGAGACCTGGACAGGCTGGACATGTGGTCCAGTAACTGGCTTCTCAAATTCAATCCAGCCAAATGCAAAGTCATGAAGATTGGGGAGGGGCAAAGAAGACCGCAGACAGAGTATAGGCTAGGTGGGCAAAGACTACAGACCTCACTCAGGGAGAAAGACCTTGGGGTGACCATAACACCGAGCACATCACCGGAGGCACACATCAACCAAATAACTGCTGCAGCATACGGGCGCCTGGCAAACCTGAGAATAGCGTTCCGATACCTTAATAAGGAATCGTTCAAGACACTGTACACTGTGTATGTTAGGCCCATACTGGAGTATGCAGCACCAGTCTGGAACCCACACCTCGTCAAGAAGTTAGAGAAAGTACAAAGGTTTGCAACAAGGCTAGTCCCAGAGCTCAGGGGAATGTCGTACGAGGAAAGGTTGAGGGAAATCGGACTGACGACACTGGAGGACAGAAGGGTCAGGAGAGACATGATAACAACATACAAGATACTGCGGGGAATAGACAAAGTGGACAGAGATAGGATGTTCCAGAGAGGGGACACAGGGACAAGGGGTCACAAATGGAAGCTGAAGACTCAGACGAGTCACAGGGACGTCAGGAAGTATTTCTTCAGTCATAGAGTTGTCAGGAAGTGGAATAGCCTAGCAAGTGAAGTAGTGGAGGCAGGAACCATACATAGTTTTAAGAAGAGGTATGATACAGCTCAGGAAGTAGAGAGAGAGAGGACCTAGTAGCGATCAGTGAAGAGGCGGGGCCAGGAGCTGAGTCTCGACCCCTGCAACCACAATTAGGTGAGTACAATTAGGTGAGTACAATCACACGCTCACTCACTGTCTCTTGTTTCTCTCCTTCTGTCCACTAATACACATACATACTCTCCCAATATTCACACCAAAACACTCACTAACAAACAACAAGACACACACTCACCAACCCTCTACACTAAGCTTGGCCATCAGGTAGCGACTACCCCGGTGTTGTAGACACACGTAGATGGAAGTCTTGGCAGAGTAGCCCCTCCAGGTAGTCTCCTGTATGTGTGTAGCATTGATGGTGAGGTGAGGTTCACCTGGGCCAGTAGATTGCCAGTCACCTGTCAGGTTCCTGGGCAGGAAACATCCAGGTGGTACCACCTCATGTTTTACTGTAATAAATATTATTATTATTAGTGTTCTATGTAGGATTATATGGTACTAGTGATTATGGCTATATGGAAGGTGCTAGTATAGTAGTGACTTTGTAGCTAGTTGTGGTTACAAAGTCACAGTAGCAGGAAAGGTTAAATGGAAGGTGCTACTTATACTAGTGGCTCTGTAGCTAATTAGGTGTGGTTACAAAGTCACAACAGCAGGAAAGGTTGAAGACTGGGGTTGCAATAAGCACTACAAAGGTACATACAGAGGCATGTATCATTGCAAGAACTCCCAACAATGTCACCATAGGCTAAAGGTTCCTGACACAACTAGGCTGACAATATCACCTGTACACAATGCTGACAATGTGAATTTATGTTGTAGATGTTGGGTCATTCAGTGACTTCATCAGTGCAAACAGTAGAACATAAGGTGATCAGTCCTTGGGACTTATTACCATTTCTACAACTGTCTTACATTCCCATCTCACACTGGAGAAGCCACTGGTTGCCCAAGGTTCCACAGAACTGAACCTCACCATAAGAGAGTCTGAACCTGATAGGACTGTTCTCTGGAGTCTTAAGAGGGGAACACTCTGGAGTGATAGAGTGTCCCAGGTATAAGTCGTCCTCACGATTACGAATGAAACAACGATACTTCTCCTCCTTGCGTGACTCTTTCGTGTTGACGACTGCAAAGTAGTGGTTCTTGCCCACAAACCAATCGCCCAGACATGAAAACACCACACCTGTGGATATGACAGTTATTATACATGTGACATGACAGTAATTATTATACCTGTGATATGATAGTACAATGGACCCTCGCCTAACGAATGCATTGCATAACGTTAAATCCGCCTAGCGATACATTTTTAACGCAAAAATTTTGCCTCGGCTAGCGCTAAAAAACTCGCCCAACGCGATTCGTTCCGTTCAAGACGCGTCCACGTGTGGCCTGAGCGCGCCTCACTTGTCTCGTGGGTGCCAGTGTTTACAAGCCAGCCACTGCGGTCGCATCCAAACATACAATCGGAACATTTCATATTATCACAGCCTTTTTAGTGATTGCACCTGCAAAATAAGTCACCATGGGCCCCAAGAAAACTTCTAGTGCCAACCCTACAGCAAAAAGGGTGAGAATTACTATGGATATGAAGAAAGAGATCATTGCTAAGTATGAAAGTGGAGTGCGTGTCTCTGAGCTGGCCAGGTTGTACACAAAACCCCAATCAACCATCACTACTATTGTGGCTAAGAAAACGGCAATCAATGAAGCTGTTCTTGCCAAAGGTGCAACTATATTTTTGAAACTGAGATCGCAAGTGATAGAAGATGTTGAGAGACTGTTATTGGTGTGGATAAACGAAAAACAGATAGCAGGAGATAGCATCTCTCAAGCGATCATATGTGAAAAGGCTAGGAAGTTGCATGAGGATTTAATTAGAAAAATGCCTGCAACTAATGGTGATGTGAGTGAATTTAAGGCCAGCAAAGGTTGGTTTGAGAGATTTAAGAAGTGTAGTGGCATACATAGTGTGATAAGGCATGGTGAGGCTGCCAGTTCGGACCAAAAAGCAGCTGAAAAATATGTGAAGGAATTCAAGGAGTACATAGACAGTGAAGGACTGAAACCTGAACAAGTATTTAATTGTGATGAAACAGGCCTGTTTTGGAAGAAAATGCCAGGCAGGACCTACATTACTCAGGAGGAAAAGGCACTCCCAGGACATAAGCCTATGAAAGACAGGCTTACTCTGTTGATGTATACTAAAGCTAGTGGTGATTGCAAAGTGAAGCCTTTATTGGTGTATCACTCTGAAACTCCCAAAGTGTTCAGGAAAAACAATGTCCTCAAGGCTAATTTGTGTGTGCTGTAGAGGGCAAACAGTAAGGCATGGGTCACTAGAGACCTTTTCTATGACTGGTTACACCATGCATTTGCCCCCACTGTTAAAAATTACCTCCTGGAAAATAAATAGGACCTTAAGTGCCTCCTGGTATTAGACAATGCTCCTGGTCATCCTTCAGATGTGGCAGAGCGACTTTCTGGGGACATGAGCTTCATTAAGGTGAAGTTTTTGCCTCCTAATACCACTCCTCTCCTGCAGCCCATGGACCAGCAGGTCATTGCAAACTTCAAAAAACTCTACACAAAAGCTATGTTTGAAAGGCACTTTGTAGTGACCTCAGAAATTCAACTGACTCTAAGAGAGTTTTGGAGAGATCACTTTAGCATCCTCAATTGTGTAAACATTATAGGTAAGGCTTGGGAGGAAGTGACTAAGAGGACCTTGAACTCTGCTTGGAAGAAACTGTGGCCAGAATGTCTAGACAAAAGGGATTTTGAAGGGTTTGAGGCTAACCCTGAGAAGTGTATGCCAGTTGTGGAATCAATTGTGGCATTGGGGAAGTCCTTGGGGTTGGAGGTTAGTGGGGAGGATGTGGAAGAGTTGGTGGAGGAGAACAATGAAGAACTAACCACTGATGAGCTGCAAGATCATCTTCAACAGCAAGAGGCCAGACCTGAGGAAACTGCTCTGGAGGAGGGGATAGAGAAATTGAGGAAGTTGCCTACTTCAAAGATTAAGGAAATGTGTGCAATGTGGCTTAAAGTGCAAACCTTTTTTGATGAAAATCACCCTCACACAGCTATTGCAAGCCGTGCTGGTGACTATTACACTGACAATGTTGTGAAACACTTTAGGAATGTCATAAAGGAACGGGAGGTACAGGCCTCTATGGACAGATATGTTGTGCGACAAAAGTCCAGTGACTCTCAAGCTGGTCCTAGTGGCATTAAAAGAAGAAGGGAAGTAACCCCGGAAAAGGACTTGACACCCTCAAGTCCTAATGGAAGGGGATTCCCCTTCTAAACATTAACACCATCCACATTCTCCCCTCCTCCCATCCCATCAATCATCACCAGATCTTCAATAAAGGTAAGTGTCATGTAATTGTACATGACATTATTTCATATGGGGAAAATTAATTCGGCTAACGATAATTTCGCTTAACGTTGAACTCTCAGGAATGGATTAATATCGTTAGGCAAGGGTCCACTGTAATTATAAATGTGACATGATAGTAGTTATTATACCTGTGACATGATAGTTATTATACCTGTGACATGATGGTAATTATTATACCTGTGACATGATAGTAATTATAAATGTGACATGATAGTAGTTATTATACCTGTGACATGATAGTTATTATACCTGTGACATGATGGTAGGTATTATACCTGTGACATGATAGTTATTATACCTGTGACATGATGGTAGTTATTATACTTGTGGACACAACAATCATACTTGTGGACACAACAATCATACTTGTGGACACAACAATCATACTCATGGACACAACAATCATACTCATGGATGCAACAATCATACTCATGGACACAACAATCATACTCATGGACGCAACAATCATACTCATGGACACAACAATCATACTCATGGACACAACAATCACACTCATGTACACAACAATCATACTCATGTACACAACATACTCATGGACACAACAATCACACTCATGTACACAACATACTCATGGACACAACAATCATACTCATGTACACAACATACTCATGGACACAACAATCATACTCATGTACACAACATACTCATGGACACAACAATCATACTCATGTACACAACATACTCATGGACACAACAATCACACTCATGTACACAACATACTCATGGACACAACAATCATACTCATGGACACAACAATCATTACTCAAGACAACAACACAACATACTCATGGACACAACAATCACACTCATGTACACAACAATCATACTCATGGACACAACAATCATACTCATGTACACAACATACTCATGGACACAACAATCACACTCATGTACACAACATACTCATGTACACAACATACTCATGTACACAACATACTCATGGACACAACAATCATACTCATGGACACAACAATCATACTCATGGACACAACAATCATACTCATGGACACAACAATCATACTCATGGACACAACATACTTTAGTAACAAAAACATACTCATGGACACAACAAAAACTTGGACACAACAATCATACTCATGGACACAACATACTCATGGACACAACAATCATACTCATGACACAAATATATGCGTACACAACAATCATACTAGTACACAATTGGACACAACAATCATACTCATGTACACAACATACTCATGACACACAACATACTCATGTACACAACATACTCATGGACACAACAATCATACTCATGGACACAACAATCATACTCATGGACACAACAATCATACTCATGGACACAACAATCATACTCATGTACACAACAATCATACTCATGTACACAACATACTCATGGACACAACAATCATACTCATGTACACAACATACTCATGGACACAACAATCATACTCATGGACACAACAATCATACTCATGGACACAACAATCATACTCATGTACACAATATATTCGCATACACAACAATCATACTCATGTACACAACATACTTGTGTACACAACAATCATACTCATGTACACAACATACTTGTGTACACAACAATCATACTCATGTACACAACATACTCATGGACACAACAATCATACTCATGTACACAACATACTCATGGACACAACAATCATACTCATGTACACAACATACTTGCGTACACAACAATCATACTCATGTACACAACATACTTGTGTACACAACAATCATACTCATGTACACAACATACTTGGTACAACAACAACACCATACTCATGGACACACAATCATACTCATGTAACAAACATACTCATGGACACAACAATCATACTCATGTACAAAAACATACTCATGGACCACAACAATCATACTCCATGTACACAAAAACATACTTGATGTACACAACAATCATACTCATGGACACAACAATCATACTCATGGACACAACAATCATACTCATGGACACAACAATCATACTCATGGACACAACAATCATACTCATGGACACAACAATAACTCATGGACACAACAATCATACTCATGGAACAACAACATACTCATGGACCCCCAACAATATACTCATCTACACAACATACCATACAACAACAATCATACTCCATTAACGATATTTTTTCCGTACCAAAATCATACCAGTACAAAATATTGTTACCATACAAATATTTGTTAATAACCCTCTCAGACACACCAAACATACACGTACAAACTCACTGACACAAAATCATTTCTAATTGACACAATGAATCGTTAACTCATGGAAAACAAATAATACTAAACACAACAATCTCATATACTCCCCATTTCCTTTAAACAAAACTCAAATGTCTATAAAATACCAAAATACGGAACTTTACAGGACCCCCGTACGATAGTTTTTCCATTCGGAATTGGGGGTCAGGTGCCAGTACTTTACTGTCATGCCCATGGGAAATTCGAAGGCGGGGATGTAGTCAACTCTAGACCCCAACTACAGCAAACGCATTAACTAATCTTACAATTGGAATGCTTTAGAGGCTACACTGAACCAGGAGGATTTCCACTTTATTTTAAAAAAACATAACCCATAATATTAAACAAACAAACTCAAATGACCATTTTCCCATGTCCACTTTAACATCTTAATAATAACCCCCCCAAAAAACTTATAAAAGACTCAATATCGAGAAAAACTTCGAGAGGCTGAGTAGGGGGTGTCAACCTCAGGATCTGGATCTTAGTTTCCCCGAGGCTGCAAAACATTGATCACCCCATGAAATCCAAGAGCGGGGGAAATGGGCCTATAAACTATATTAAGTACAAACTGCATGCCTCTAAAGTTTGCAAGGAATGTTTATGGGCCCTTAAATGACAGGAAACTTCTTCAACTCTTTTAATGATAAAATATATCCTTAATATTGAGGGCGGCAACCACCCCCTTTGAGTACCTTGCCAAACAAAAATCCTACTTTAGCATCTTCAATAATACCGTAACCCCCGCCAAAAACAGAAAACTTAGGGGAAATAATAAAGAAAAAATGTGGTACTTCTCAGTGAAACCCAATCTATTCTGATTTTGAAATTGAGTCACAAGTAACACCAAATGGAATCTGATCTTACATTCCCTTTGGGTTCAACCTGCAAAATCAAACTATCACATCATCAAATCATATATTTTCCCGATAGGCCTATATGTGCTTAAAAAAAAGAAACCAAAAGATATTCTTATCTTATGTATGCCTTGGGAAGCACTGATTAATGGCTTAGTGTCCCTTCTTTTGGGACTTCTTGGTGGGAAAAGCCAAATGGTATATCACACCGGGCTGCACCAATGACATATTGACGCCCTTCTTAGCCAGAACGCCAAAAGACCCACATCAGGCAAAAAATTTGGAAGTGACTACCAGTACTCAAGGAGAGGCTGAAAACCAAGGAGCCCCTAGTAACCTCAAGAGCAGCAGGTTTAAGGTACAGGAAAGCACGCAGTAAATGTAGGGATACTAACCTGGAGGAGAGGAAGTAAACCCCAACACTCACTCTGTATTTCACTAGTAAGGTTTGACTGTCCATCAGGTACTGACTACCAGGAGCCTGGCAGGATCTGATTGTCGCATCTGGATGGTTACACTCTCCTGTGAAACTAAAATATATCTTACACTCAGGGATAGCTGATAACTGGTGATAACTTACACACAACAAACAAATTCACACCACACGCATATTGCAGTTTTATAACTGTAGTGTAAGCGTGCCTCTGGCAAGACAGTGATGGAGTGAATGATGATGAAAGTTTTTCTTTTTTGGGCCACTTGCCTTGGTGGTAAATGGCCAATGTGTTAATAAAAAAAATAACACATACACAATGCACAGATGACATATGGGCCCTTCTGAGTGAGGTGGCCAGAAGAGCCCACATGGGCAGGGCAAAGTTATTAGTTGTGGGTGATTCCAGTCACAAGGAGAGTGACTGGGAAAACCTGGAGCCACATGGGGGACCTGAGAGAGCTTAGATGGTTAAGGTGGTACTGGAAAACCTCCAGCATCAACATGTTAGGGATACTACCACAGAGAGAGAGGAGAGTATGAACCAGCAACACTGCACCTTGTATTCACCTTGAGTAGTTCAGACACTGAGGACATCACATATGAAAGGACCCTTGGAGCTAGTGATCACATGGTCTTGAACTTTGAATACATTGTAGAGTTACAAGTGGAGAGCAAAGAAGCACGAGTAGGATATGAGAAGTCAAACTACAAAAAAGGGGACTACACAGGCATGCAGAATTTCCTGCATGAGGTACAGAGGGAAAGAGAACTAGAGGGAAAGAGAACTAGAGGGAAAGAGAACTAGAGGGAAAGAGAACTAGAGGGAAAGACATTAAATGGAATCATGAAATACTTGACCACAAAATGCATGGAGGCAGAGGAAAGGTTTGTTCCCAAGGGGTAGAAGAAATAATGGGAAGACCAGAATGAGCCTTGGTTCACTCAAAGTGTAGAGAGGCCAAAACTAAGTGTGCTAGAAAATGGAAAAAGTAAAAAGACAAAGAAAACAGGAAAATAAGGAGATCAGCCAAAGAGTCAGAAATGAAAATGCACAAATGAGGAGGGAGGCCCAGTGACAATACGAGAATGACACAGCACCAAAAGTCAAATCTGACCTGAAGCTGTTGTACAGCCATATCAGGAGGAAAAACAACAAGTCAAGGATCAGGTAATCAGACTGAGGAAGGAAGGAGGGGAGATCACAAGAAATGACAAAGAATTATGTGAAGAAGAATGGTAGGGTACACCAACAAGTGCTGGACACAATACACACAACTGAGGAAGTGAAGAAGCTGCTAAGTGTAACTAGATACCTCAAAGGTGGTGGGACCAGACATCTCTCCATGGGTCTTGAGAGAGGGAGCAGAGGCACTCTGTGTACCATAAACAACAATCTTCAACACATCTATCGAAACAGGATGACTGCCTGAGGTGTGGAAGACAGAAAATGTAGTCCCAATCTTTAAGTAAGAAGACAGGCATGTATCATTAACTACAGACCTGTGTCACTGACATGAAGAGTATGTAAAATTATGGAGATTATCAGAAGAGTGGTGAAGCACCTAGAAAGGAATGAGCTTATGCATGATAACCAGCACATTTTATGACAAGGCAACAGAAGTAAGACAGGAGAGAGAAAGGGATGGGTAGACTGCATCTTTTTGGACTGTAAAAAGGCTGTTGACATAGTACCACACAAGAGAATGGTTGAAAAGCAAGAGGAGCAGGGAGGAATAGGCAGAAAAGTATTGCAATGGATCAGAGAATACATGACAGGAAGGAAACAATGAGTGATAGTACATGATAAGTTGTCAGAGTGGGTACCTGTGACAAGCGGGATTCCACAAGGGTCAGTCCTAGGACTGGTGCTGTTTCTGGTACATGTGAATGACATGACTGAAAGGATAGATTCAGAGGTGTCCCTGTTTGCAGACGACGTGAGGTTAATGAGGAGAATTCACTCAGATAAGGATCAGGTAGAACTACAAAGGGATCTGGACAGGTTGCAGGCCTGGTCCAACAATCTGGAGAATAACCCCACCAAGTGCAGTCATGAAGATTGGGGAAGGTCAAGGAACACTGGTGAGAGAGTACAGGCTAAAGGGCTAAAGAATTCAAAACCTCACCAAGGAAAAGGATCTTGGGGTGAGCATCATACTGAGCACATCTCCTGAGGCACACATCAACCAAATAACTGCTGCAGCATATGGGCGCCTGACAAACCTAAGAACAGTGTTTCGACATCTAAGTAAGGAGTCATTTAGCACACTGTACACTGTGTAATCAGACACTGTACACTATGTATGTCAGACACTGTACACTGTGTACATCAGGCACTGTACGCTGTGTACATCAGGCACTGTACGCCATGTATGTCAGGCCCATATTGGAGTACGCAGCACCAGTTTGGAACCCACTACTGGTCAATCATGTCAAGAAATTAGAGAAAGTGCAAAGGTTTGCAATAAGACTAGTCCCAGAGCTAAGGAGTATGCCCTTGAGGAGAGGTTAAGGTTAATGAGGTTTAAAATCTATTTACTACACCCCTGTCATAAAGACTAGTTGGTTAGTTAATGGGGTTAAACTCTATCTGCTACACCAGGGCCGTTAAGGCTGGCTGGTTGGTTAATGGGTTTAAAGTCTATATACTCCACAAGGGTCATTAAGACTGGTTGTTTGGCTAATGGGGTTTAACAACTATGTACTACACAAGGGTCATTAACAGTGTTTGGCATGAGAAAAAGGATACCAGTGTTGAGATAGTAATGTTGCAAGACTTGATATTCAAAGCAACACACACACCAAGGTTAGTAATAAATATACATGAGTCACTGACTGGAAAGGTGACCAGTACAGTGTTTTATCACAGTAGTGCAGTTTATATACACTGAGAGGTGTATATCTCAGTGTATATACACTGAAAGGTATATATCTCAGTGTATATACACTGAGAGGTGTATATCTCAGTGTATATACACTGAGAGGTGTATATCTCAGTGTATATACACTGAGTGGTGTATATCTGTGTATGGTATAAACCTTGGTAATAAATACCGACAAGTTGGTTTAGAAAGACACGTAAGCAAACACTATGACATATTTATTAGAAAACGTTTCGGTCCTGGGACCTTGATCACTTCTAACCAGTGATCAAGGTCCCAGGACCGAAACGTTTTCTAATAAATATGTCATAGTGCTTTGCTTACGTGTCTTTCTAAACCATATCTGTGTATATACACTGATAGGTATATATCTCAGTGTATATACACTGAGAGGTGTATATCTCAGTGTATATACACTGAGAGATATATATTTCAGTGTATACACAAAGAGGTGTATATCTCATTGTATATACACTGTGAGGTGTATATCTCATTGTATACACACTAAGAGGTGTATATATCATTGTATATACACTGAGAGGTGTATATCTCAGTGTATATACACTGAGAGGTGTATATCTCAGTGTATATACACTGAGAGGTGTATATCTCAAGTGTATTTACAATGAGAGGTGTATATCTCAGTCTCCAGAAAGGCACAGAATTAGGGGGGGACATGATTGAGGTGTATAAATGGAAAACAGGAATAAATAAAGGGGTTGTAAATAGCGTGCTAAAAATATCTAGCCAAGACAGGACTTGCAGTAATGGTTTTAATTGGAAAAATTTTGATTCAGGAAGAGTATAGGAAAGCACTGGTCTGATAATAGAGTTGTGGATGGGTGGAACAAACTCCGTCATTGGAGCTACAACCTTGTGTAATTTTAAAAATAGCTTAGACAAGTACATGTGTGTGTAGGTGTGTGTTGGACCTGACTAGCTTGCACTAATGGGTATGATGCAATGCTCCATCCTTCTTAGGTGGATGTGACTTGGACATGACTGCTTTGGCCAGTAGATGACTTGGATCTGCCTCGCATGGGCCAGTGCTCCTTCCTTATGTTCTTATATACAGTGAGAGGTGTATATCTCATTGTATATACACTAAGAGGTGCATAACTCAGTGTATATACACTGGTGGGTGTCTAAGCCACTAACCCAGCATGTAACACACACATACGCACAGCATAGGGGGGTACTTGAAGGGGAGAAATCGGCCAGTCAAACCGATTTTCAAGACAAACAGTGCAGGATAGGATCCTGCAGGAGAAACCATGGTTAAGAGAACCAGCAACATACCAGAGGGTGTTCCTAGACTGCAACAGAACGAGGACAGAATGACAACAGCTGAGAGAGAGGACCCAGAGTCGAAAGGGGCTAGAACGAGATACAAAGCTAGAGTCAGTAGAGAACAACCAGAGTTGAGTGGAGCAACAAGCATAAACACCCACAGAACCACCCTGAGAACCCCACAGCCAAACATACTATCGTAATACAAACCACACCCCACACTACACAGCAGAATCCCATAGCACCTGCCAGGCCCCCACCCCACAAACCTCCAGAATACAGTGTTGGAGAGGAAACTGAAGATATGGTACACTAACGCTGATGGTATAACGAATAAGTTGGAAGAATTGCACAAAAGAATCACAGAGGCATCACCAAACATCATAGCTCTCACAGAAACCATGCTCAAAGAAATATAACAGACGCTATCTTTCTAACTGGATATCAGATCCCCAGGAAAGACAAAGGGAACAGGGGATGGGGGGTGGAGGAGTGGCACTGCTCATCAAAAACCAATGGGATTTTGAAGAGTTAGGGAGAAGGGACAGAGGGGAAGCAGAAGACTACATAATAGGAACACTTCAGACTGGAGGTCCCAAGGTGGTGATTACAGTAATGTATAACCCACCACAGAACAGCAGGAGGCCAAGACAAGAATATGATAATAGTAACAGAGCAATGGTTGACACACTGGCTAAAGTGGCCAGAAGGACCCATGTGGGCAGGGCAAAGCTAGTGGTGTGGGTGACCTCAATCACAAAGAAAGTGACTGGGAAAACCTGGAGCCACATGGAAACATAAACACATATGCAGTTTAATGTGATCCTTTATTGACAATGTTTCGCCCACACAGTGGGCTTTTTCAAGTCACAAACAGATCTGTTTGTGACTTGAAAAAGCCCACTGTGTGGGCAAAACGTTGTCAATAAGGGATCACATTAAACTGCATATGTGTTTATGTTTCCATAGTGTCGGTATTTTATACCATTTACACAAATAACCCGCACATAAAAGAGAGAAGCTTACGACGACGTTTCGGTCCGACTTGGACATTGACAAGTCACATTGACAAAGTCACACTGACTTTGTCAATGGTCCAAGTCGGACCGAAACGTCGTCGTAAGCTTCTCTCTTTTATGTGCGGGTTATTTGTGTATCATTCCAGTCACGGTATTGTGCCTTTTTGTTATTTTTATACCATTTATTTTCACTGGAGCCACATGGGGGCCCAGAAACATGGAGGACTAAGATGATGGAGCTGGTACTGGAAAACCTCATGCATCAGCACATTAGGGACACTACTTGAAAGAGAGAGGAGAGGATGAACCAGAAAGACTGGACCTAGTATTCACCTTGAGTTGTGCAGATATTGAGGACATCACATATGAAAGACCCCTCAGAGCTAGTGATCATGTGGTTCTGAGCTTCAAATATACAGTAGTTACAAGTAGAGAGGAAAGCAGGAATGGCAGGATGAAGCCAAACTACAAGAGAGGGAACTACACAGGCATGAAGAATTTCCTGCACGAGGTTCAGTGGGACAGAGAACTGGCAGGAAAGTCAGTAAATGAGATGATGGAATATGTGACAACAATATGTAAGGAAGCTGAGGAGAGGTTTGTACCCAAGGCCAACAGAATCAATTAGGCCAGGATGAGCCTTTGGTTCACCGCTAAAACCAAATGTGCTAGATAATGGAAGAAGTATAAAAAGCAAAGGACCCAGGAGAATAAAGGGAGTAGTCGAAGAGCCATAAATGAATATGCACAGAGAAGGAGGGAGGCCCAATGACAATACAAAAATGACATAACAGCGAAAGCCAAGTCCAACCCAGAGCTGTTGTACAATTACATCACAAGGAAAACAACAGTCAAGGACCAGGTAATCAGGCTGAGGAAGGAAGGGAAATCACAACAAACGACCTTGAAGTATGTGAGGAGCTCAACATGAGATTTAAACAAGTATTCACAGAGGAGATTGAAAGGACTCCGGAAAGATAGAGAGGTAGGGTATATCATCAAGTGCTGGACATGATACATACAACTGAGGAGGCAAAGCGGCTGCTAAACAAACTAGATATCTCAAAAGCGAAGGGGCAAGATAACAACTCCCTGTGGGTCCTGAGAGAGGGAGCAGAGGCACTCTGTGTACCACTAACAACAATCTTCAACACATCTATCGAAACAGGGCAACTACCTGAGGTATAGAAGACAGCAAATGTAGTTCCAGTTTTAAAAAAAAAAAGGGGGACAGGCATGCAGCATTAAACTACAGACCAGTGTCACTGACATGTATGCAAAGTCATGGAGAAGATTATCAGAAGAGTGGTGGAGCACCTAGAACTTATCAATAACAACCAGCACAAACTTGCTGGAGTTTTATGACAGGGTGACAGCAGTAACATAAGAGACCAAGGGGTGAGTAGATCGTGTTTTTTTGGACTGTAAGGCTCTTGACACAGCTTCACACAAGAGATTAGTGCAAAAGCTGGAGGACCAGGCAGGTATAACAGGGAAGGCACTGCAATGGATCAGAAAATACCTGTCAGGAAGACAACAGCGAGTTATGGTACGTGGCGAGGTGTCAGAATGGGCGCTTGTGATGAGTTGGGTTCCACAGGGGTGCTGTTTCTGGTATATGTGAATGACATAATGAAAGGAATAGACTCAGAAGTCTCCCTGTTTGCAGACGATATGAAGTTAATGAGGAGAATTCAGTCGGAGGACCAGGCAGGACTACAAGGGATCTGGACAGGCTGCAGGCCTGGTCCAGCAACTGGCTCCTGGAGTTCAACCCAGCCAAGTGCAAGTCATGAAGATTGAGGAAGGGCAAAAAAAAACCTCAGACAGAGTACAGTCTAGGGGGCCAAAGACTACAAATCTCACTCAAGTCAAAGGATCTTGGGGTGAGTATAACACCAAGCACATCTCCTGAGGTGCACATTATCCAAATACTGTAACTGCTGCAGCAGTTACCTTGTATTACCATGTATGTCAGACACTGTACTCTGTGTAAGTGTGGCACTCTACATCATGTATGTCAGGCACTGTACACAACTGTGTACATCAGGCACTGTACACCATGTACATCAGGCACTGTACACCATGTACGCCAGGCACTGTACACCATGTACGTCAGGCCCATATTGGAGTATGCAACACCAGTTTGGAACCCACACCTGGTCAAGCACGTCAGGAATTAGAGAAAGTGCAAAGGTTTGCAACGAGACTAATCCCGAAGCTAAGAGGTATGTCCTACAAGGAGAGGTTACGGGAACTCGACCTGATGACACTGGAGGACAGGAGAGATGGGGGGGACATGATAATGACATATAAAGTACTGAGAGGTATTGACAAGGTAGACAGAGACAGAATGTTCCAGAGATGGGACACAGCAACAAGTGGTCACAACTGGAAGTTGAAGACTCAGATGAGTTACAGGGACATTAGGGAGTATTTCTTCAGTCAGAGAGTTGTCAGGAAGTGGAATAGTCTGGGAAGTGATGTAGTGGAGGCAGGATCCATACACAGCTTTAAGAAGAGATATGATAAAGCTCACGGAACAGGGAAAGAGTGACCTAGTAGCGACCAATGAAGAGGAGGGGCCAGGACTTATGGCTCAACCCCTACAACCACAATTAGGTGAGCACACACACACACACTACATTATAATACCACTTACTTAAACAGGCCATCTAAGTGACTATGTGTCTCACCTGAATGTATTCTGCCAGGCGAAGTGATACAGGCCATGTATCGCCGGCCTACAGTTAAGAAAAGTTGGATCCTGACGAAACATAATGTATCCAGTACGACCATCACTCAAACCAAGACACATCTCCCACTCAGAGTTCTTCAGTGTCCCTTCACTGACACATGTACCTGGTGAGACGTGTAACACATGAGTATATTGGACAAGACACATGTATGACACACAAGTACACTTAGTTAAGACACATGTATGACACATGAGAACACTTAGTTAAGACACATGTATGACACATAAGTACACTCAGTTAAGACACGTTTAACCACATGTATCAGTAGGTCTACTGGACCATATTTGACAGGTTACAGGAACACAAGAATAAACATTATAGTAGGCAGATTATATTGAACATTACAGTAGGCCTACACCTTATAGACTCATCATAATGTTACTCTGGAATCCAATATATTCCATGTCCTGACAATGAAGAATACAGCAGGCCTACTAGTCTACACTTGACAAGTTATATTGAACATTACAGTAGGCCTACACCTGATAGACTCATCATAATCATACTCTGGAATCTCTCCAATATTTTCCATGACCTGACTATGAAGAGCACAATAGGCCTATTAGCCTACATCTGGCAGGTTATATTGAACATTACAGTAGGCCTACACCTGCTAGGATCATCATAATGTTACTCTGGAATCTCTCCAATATATTCCATGTCCTGACAATGAAGAATGCAGTAGGCCTACTAGTCTACACTTGACAAGCTACATTGAACATTACAGTAGGCCTACACCTGATAGGCTCACCATAATCTTACTCTGGAATCCAATATATTCCATGTCCTGACAATGAAGAATACAGTAGGCCTACTAGTCTACACCTGGCAAGTTATGCTGAACATTACAGTAGGCCTACACCTGATAGGCTTATCATAATCTTACTCTGGAATCCAATATATTCCATGTCTGACAATGAAAAATACAGCAGGCCTACTAGTCTACACTTGACAAGTTATACTGAACATTACAGTAGGCCTACACCTGATAGGCTCATCATAATCTTACTTTGGAATCTCTCCAATATATTCCATGCCCTGACAATGAAGAATACAGTAGGCCTACGAGTCTACACTTGACAAGTTATACTGAACATTGAAGTAGGCCTACACCTGATAGGCTCATCATAATCTTACTTTGGAATCTCTCCAATATATTCCATGTCCTGACAATGAATACAACACAGGTGAAGCAAGGTGACTGATGCCTCAAGATATACTGGAAGGTGCCAGTTCGTAGTGCCTCTCCTTCGATCACAGTGCCCAGTCCACTCATCTTCCTGGCACTGATCTCTGTGTTAACACTACGACCCTCCTCCCACGAGAACCAGCTTCCCTGCAGGATGCCAGCAACAACAGTCTCGTTGTTGTGTGTTGTGTGGCATACTGTCCCTGTAACAACAAGGGGCAATTAAGACATACAGCAAGTACCGCCGTCATGACAGAAGATAGTATTACAGTCATGGCAGAAGATAGTCAGTACCACAGTCATGACAGAAGATAGTATTACAGTCATGGCAGAAGATAGTATTACAGTCATGACAGAAGATAGTATTACAGTCATGACAGAAGATAGTATTACAGTCATGACAGAATATAGTCAGTATTACAGTCATGACAGAAGACAATCAGTACCACAGTCATGACAGAAGGTAGTCAGTACCACAGTCATGACAGAAGATAGTCAGTACCACAGTCATGGCAGAAGATAGTCAGTACCACAGTCATGACAGAAGATAGTCAGTACCACAGTCATGGCAGAAGATAGTCAGTACCACAGTCATGACAGAAGATAGTCAGTACCACAGTCATGGCAGAAGATAGTCAGTACCACAGTCATGACAGAAGATAGTCAGTACCACAGTCATGGCAGAAGATAGTTAGTACCACAGTCATGACAGAAGATAGTCAGTACCACAGTCATGACAGAAGATAGTCAGTACCTCAGTCATGACAGAAGATAGTCAGTACCTCAGTCATGACAGAAGATAGTCAGTATTACAGTCATGTCAGAAGATAGTCAGTATTACAGTCATGGCAGAAGATAGTCAGTATTACAGTCATGACAGAAGATAGTCAGTATTACAGTCATGGCAGAAGATAGTCAGTATTACAGTCATGTCAGAAGATAGTCAGTACGACAGTCATGACAGAAGATAGTCAGTACCACAGTCATGACAGAAGATAGTCAGTACCTCAGTCATGACAGAAGATAGTCAGTACCTCAGTCATGACAGAAGATAGTCAGTACCTCAGTCATGATAGAAGGTAGTCAGTACCACAGTCATGATACAAGGTAGTCAGTACCACAGTCATGACAGAAGATAGTCAGTCCCACAGTCATGATAGAAGGTAGTCAGTACCACAGTCATGATAGAAGGTAGTCAGTACCACAGTCATGATAGAAGGTAGTCAGTACCACAGTCAAGATAGAAGGTAGTCAGTACCACAGTCATGATAGAAAGTAGTCAGTCCCACAGTCATGATAGAAGGTAGTCAGTACCACAGTCATGATACAAGGTAGTCAGTCCCACAGTCATGATAGAAAGTAGTCAGTCCCACAGTCATGATAGAAGGTAGTCAGTCCCACAGTCATGATAGAAGGTAGTCAGTCCCACAGCCATGATATAAGGTAGTCAGTCCCACAGTCATGATAGAAGGTAGTCAGTCCCACAGTCATGATAGAAGGTAGTCAGTCCCACAGTTATGATAGAAGGTAGTCAGTCCCACAGTCATGATAGAAGGTAGTCAGTACCACAGTCATGATAGAAGGTAGTCAGTCCCACAGTCATGATAGAAGGTAGTCAGTCCCACAGTCATGATAGAAGGTAGTCAGTCCCACAGTTATGATAGAAGGTAGTCAGTCCCACAGTCATGATAGAAGGTAGTCAGTCCCACAACCATGATAGAAGGTAGTCAGTCCCACAGTCATGATAGAAGGTAGTCAGTACCACAGTCATGATAGAAGGTAGTCAGTCCCACAGTCATGATAGAAGGTAGTCAGTACCACAGTCATGATAGAAGGTAGTCAGTCCCACAGTCATGATAGAAGGTAGTCAGTCCCACAACCATGATAGAAGGTAGTCAGTCCCACAGTCATGATAGAAGGTAGTCAGTACCACAGTCATGATAGAAGGTAGTCAGTACCACAGTCATGATAGAAGGTAGTCAGTACCACAGTCATGATAGAAGGTAGTCAGTCCCACAGTCATGATAGAAGGTAGTCAGTCCCACAACCATGATAGAAGGTAGTCAGTCCCACAGTCATGATAGAAGGTAGTCAGTACCACAGTCATGATAGAAGGTAGTCAGTCCCACAGTCATGATAGAAGGTAGTCAGTACCACAGTCATGATAGAAGGTAGTCAGTACCACAGTCATGATAGAAGGTAGTCAGTACCACAGTCATGATAGAAGGTAGTCAGTCCCACAGCCATGATAGAAGGTAGTCAGTACCACAGTCATGATAGAAGGTAGTCAGTACCACAGTCATGATAGAAGGTAGTCAGTACCACAGTCATGATAGAAGGTAGTCAGTCCCACAGCCATGATAGAAGGTAGTCAGTCCCACAGTCATGATAGAAGGTAGTCAATCCCACAGTCATGATAGAAGGTAGTCAGTCCCACAGTTATGATAGAAGGTAGTCAGTACCACTGCATCTTCTGATAAAGAAGTCAGTCATCTACCCTCCAAGGGGAGAATATATCTACTTCCTTGAATCAAGAGCCCCTCAGAGGCATCAAAGCAATTACCATGAGAGACAGGTTGCAACTGAAGCATTACAAACAATTGCAAGGTAGATCTTACATGCAAATGCATTGGTTAATGTTTTTCAGTCTCTCTCTGAATAATAATAGATAGAAGCAGTTTTCACTAGTTCATAACGAACACAATGGCATGGTAGACATACTGATATGTTCAACACACACATACACAACACCCATACACAATACACACCCCACACACCACACACACATACACAACACCCATACACAACACACACCCACACACACACATACATACACAACACCCATACACAACACACACCCACACACACACATACATACACAACACCCATACACAACACACCACCCACACACACACATACATACACAACACCCATACACAACACACACACACACACACACGTACACACACACACACACACACACACACACACACACACACACACACACACACACACACACACACACACACACATACACAACACCCATACACAACACACACACACACACACATACACACACAACACCATACACAACACACACACATACACAACACCCATACACAACACACACACACACACACATACACACACAACACCCATACACAACACACACACATACACAACACCCATACGCAACACACACCCACACGCACATACACAACACACACATAGACAGGCAGGCTGCAGGCTTGGTCCAGAAACATACACAAATAACCCGCACATAAAAGAGAGAAGCTTACGACGACGTTTCGGTCCGACTTAGACCATTGACAGAGTCACTTTGTCAATGGTCCAAGTCGGACCGAAACGTCGTCGTAAGCTTCTCTCTTTTATGTGCGGGTTATTTGTGTATCGTTCCAGTCACGGTATTGTGCCTTTTTGTTATTTATTTTTGGTCCAGAAACTGGCTCCTGGAATTCAACCCCACCAAATGCAAAGTCAAGAAGATTGGGAAAGGGCAAAGAAGACCACAGCCGGAGTACAGTCTAGGGGGCCAGAGACTACAAACCTCACTTAAGGAATATGATATTGGGGTGATTATAACACCGAGCACATCTCCTGAGGTGCACATTAACCAAATAACTGCTGCAGCATATGGGCGCCTAGCAATCCTAAGAATAGCGTTCCGATATCTCAATAAGGAATCGTTCAGGACCCTGTACACCGTGTACGTTAGGCCCATATTGGAGTATGCGGCACCAGTTTGTAATCTACACCTGGCCAAGCACGTAAAGAAACTAGAGAAAGTCCAAAGGTTTGCAACAAAACTAGTCCCGGAGCTAAAGGGCATGTCCTAAGAGGAGAGGTTAAGGGAAATCGACCTGACGACACGGGAGGGCAGGAGAGATAGGGAAGACATGATAACGACATATAAAATACTGAGAGAAATTGACAAGGTAGAAAGAGACAGGATGTTCCAGAGATGGGACACAGCAATAAGGGGTCACAGTTGGAAGGTGAAGACTCAGGTGAATCACAGAGATGTTAGGTAGTATTTCTTCAGTCACAGAGTTGTCAGGAAGTGGAATAGTCTGGAAAGTGATGTCGTGGGGCAGGATCCATACATAGCTTTAAGAAGAGGCATGATAAAGCTCATGGAGCAGGAAGAGTGACCTAGTAGCAACCAGTGAAGAGGCGGAGCCAGGAGCTGTGACTCGACACCTGCAACCACAACTAGGTAAGCATACACACACACACACATGGTGACAGCAGTAAGACAAGAGAGAGAGGGGTGGGTGGATTGCATATTCTTGGACTGCAAGAAGGCGTTTGACAGTTCCACACGGGAGATTAGTGCAAAAACTGGAGGATCAAACAGGGATAACAGGGAAGGCACTACAATGGATCAGGGAATACTTGTCAGGAAGACAGCAGCGAGTCATGGTACGTGGCGAGGTGTCAGAGTGGGCACCTGTGACCAGCGGGGTCCCACAGGGGTCAGTCTTAGGACCAGTGCTGTTTCTGGTATTTGTGAACGACATGACGGAAGGAATAGACTCTGAGGTGTCCCTGTTTGCAGATGACGTGAAGTTGATGAGAAGAATTCACTCGATCGAAGACCAGGCAGAACTACAAAGGGATCTGGACAGGCTGCAGACCTGGTCCAGCAATTGGCTCCTGGAGTTCAATCCCACCAAGTGCAAAGTCATGAAGACATGAAGACGGGGAAGACATGATAACGACATACAAAATACTGAGAGGAATTGACAAGGTGGACAAAGACAGGATGTTCCAGAGATTGGACACGTAACAAGGGGACACAGTTGGAAGTTGAAGACACAGATGAATCACAGGGATGTTAGGAAGTATTTCTTCAGCCACAGAGTAGTCAGGAAGTGGAATAGTTTGGGAAGCGATGTAGTGGAGGCAGGATCCATACAAAGCTTTAAGCAGAGGTATGATAAAGCTCACGGTTCAGGGAGAGTGACCTAGTGGCGATCAGTGAAGAGGCGGGGCCAGGAGTTCGGACTCGACCCCTGCAACCTCAACTAGGTGAGTACAACTAGGCGAGTACACACACACACACACACACGCACAACACAACACACACAACACAACACACACAACACAACATACACAACACAACACCACACACACACAACACAACACAACACAGCACACACAACACAAACACATACAACAC